GATACACAAGATTAAGTTGCTCCTCCGCGGATGAGACGTATGAATCGAGACACCACACCGACCCTGTGAAACCGAATGGTGCAGTTGGAAAACAGAACCCACTTCGAATCTACTCTTCCTCCTCTTCACGCTCTTCTTCCTGCTCAGTCTTCCAATCCATGTGCTTTTCCTCCTCCTAATGCTCTTCATCATTCTCTTCCCGCTCTTCCTCCTAATGCTCTTCCTCATTCTCTTCCCGCTCTTCCTCCTCCTAGTGCTCTTCCTCATTCTCCTCCCGCTCTTCGTCCTCCTCGTTCTCTCCCTCCTCCTCACGCTCTTCCTCCTCATAATCTCCCTCCTCCTTCCACTTCCTTCCTCCACCCGATCTCCACCTGACCTCCTCCCTCCCTTCCTCTCTCTCTCTCCATCTCTCGCCTGACCTCCTCCCTTCCTCCGTACTCCACTTGACTTCTACCATCCCTCCACCGGACTTCTCCCTGCCGCAATCCCCCGTTCTCCCCGCCTCCTCTTCAACTACCCTCCGCCCTCCCTCCGCCCGACCACCTGCCTCCCCTTTCTTTCTTCGCTCAATCTCCGCCTGACCACCTCCCTCCGCTTCTGCTCCACCTCCGCCCAACCTCCTCTCGTCCCCTATCTCCTCCTTCCCCTCCCTTCCTCCGCCCGATCTCCACCTGACCCCTCTCTCTCTCTCTCTCCCTTCGCCTGACCTCCTCCTTCCCGCCGTACTCCTCCAACCTCTACCCTCCTTCCTCCTTCCCTCCGCCCTCCCTCCGTCGAACTTCTCCGAAAACCCTCCTCTTCAACCTCCCTCCGACCTCGCTCCGCCCGACCACATCCCTGCCCTTCCTTTCGTCGCCCAATCTCTACCTGACATCCTCGCTCCCCTTCCTCCGCCCTATCACCTCCTACACTTGACCTCCTCCCTTCCCCGATCTTCTCCTTCCCCTTCCTTCCTCCGCCCGATCTCCCTCCATTTCTCTCTCTCTCTCTCTCTCTCTCTCTCTCTCTCTCTCTCTCTCTCTCTCTCTCTCTCTCTCTCTCTGTGGAGGTACGAGATCTGGGAGGGAGGGCGGAGAGAGGGTGGGAGGGAAGGAAGGTTCGACAGGGAGGTTGGAGGGAGGATGGGTAATGGCGGCGGGGAGAAGTTCGGCGGAGGGAGGGCAGAGAGGAGGAGGGAGGGAAGGAAGGTTGGACAGGAGGAGAAGGCCGGAGGAAGGTTGGACAGGCGGAGGGAGGGCAGAGAGGCGGAGGGAGGGSAGRGAGGCGGAGGGAGGGCAGAGAGGAGGAGGGAGGGAAGGAAGGTTGGACAGGGGAATGGCGGTAGGTATAAGTCCGGCGGAGATAAGGCAGAGGGAGGGACGAGAGAGGGAGGAAATCAGGCGAAGGGGGGCACAGAGAGAGAGAGAGACCTCCTCTCTTCCCCGATCTCGTCCTTCCCCTTCCTCCACCCGATCTACGCCTCAACATTCCTCCCTCCACCCGGGTCTCCTCCATCAGCCTGATCTCCACCTGAACTCCTCCATCAGCCTGATCTCCACCTGAACTCCTCCCTCCACACGGATCTCCTCCATCCATTCCTCCCTCCTTCCTCCCCCCGATCTCCCCCCGATCTCC